TCCCTCCGGACTGCTGCCAGCGCGTCTCCCGACGGCGGCCGCCAGTTAGTGCTGCCGCGAAGAGGCCGTGCTCTCACCAGGTCGGCAGGAAGAACCAGCCTGACACCGCCGCGCTCGTGAAGAGCCCACCCTGAAGTTCCTTCGAAGACAAGGGCTAAATAAAGCAGGGCTAGGATCGGGATAAATCGCTCCAGAGCGTTCCGGAGCGCTCTCGGAGCGTTCCGGAACGCTCTGGAGCGGCAGCGGCGCCCAATACATCCTGAAAGCCCGCCGATTCTCAAAGATTTCGAGTTATCCCGATCCGATTTTGTCCCGATCTTCGCGTCGTTTTAAGGGCCCCGGCCGTCACCACCCCCGACGACAGCGACGACGTCATGCGCCCGCGCCGCGAAGAAGACGTGCTTGCCCGGGGCGGCAGGGAGGAGGAGGAGGAGGAGGAGGAGGAGGAGGAGGAGGAGGAGGAGGAGGAGGAGGAGGAGGAGGAGGAGGCGGAGGAGGCGGAGGAGGAGGAGGAGGAGGAGGAGGCGGAGGAGGAGGAGGAGGAGGGTGAAGGAGAACACCGCGCTGAAAGACTGCCAGCAGGGTGACTCTGTGCCCTGCGACGCTGGGTGCGGCGAACGTGTCTGGTGCGTCTGGCGGCGGCGACGGCGGCGGCAGGGGGAAGAGGAACTGCAGGGGCGGCTGCGAGCCGCACGGCAAGGACCGGCGAGCGGCTCGCTGCGAGCGGCGCGCCACTGCTCAGCCACTCGGTGCGACAGGCTGTTGCCAGGCCTCTCCCTGCGGTCCTCCCTACCCTGACCTCCGCGCACGGCTCGGGCGGGGCATCCGAGCTCTGGGATTGTCGGGGAACTCGTGTGTAGTTCGGTGCATGTCTTTTCAGCTCCTCAGCTCGGCTTCCTGTCTGGTAGCCTCAGCGTTGCATGCTTGGGCGTGACGTGCACATTTTCTCTGCGTAGTCCTCGGTGTCGAATCTGCTTTTCGTGCTTCACGGTGAGCCTGCACAGTGCTTGACTCTTGTAGTTACTGTTGGTTACACGCTGTCGATTAACCTCAACTGGTAATAAAGGGCCCTCCCTCCTTCCATTCTTCTCTCTCCCCTGCCTCCTCCCTTCCCTTCTGCATGGCGTCTTCAGCGTAGTGCACACCCCCGGCAACGATGCCCTTTGGCGTCTTTTCGTGGAGTTCCGAGTTCCGAGTTCCTCCCTCCCCTTCATTACATCCTTCCCCCCTCCTCCTTCCTCTCCCCCCTTCCTCCCTCCCTCCTCCCTCCCTCCCGTCTCCTCTTTCTTTCTCTTCTCTGCTTATTGTACACAAATATATACATATGTGTGTGTATATATATATATATGTGTTTGTCTCTCTCTCTCTCTCTCCTCCACCGTGTCTGCACGATGTGGGAGTGTTAGAATGCTCGTGTGTTGTCTGGGTTTCTTTAATATTTCCAGGCTCCTCACTACTCGCGCGCGTGCCTCTGAGATCGCCCTCCCTGAATTTGCTCCGCGGCGCTCTTTTCGGCCACCTGACGGCCAATATGGTGTCCAAGATAGCTTCCAAGACAATCGAGATGACACCAATACGATTCAAGAAGCTCCCAAGACGGCCCAAGAGGTCCCAACACGACCCAAGAGGGCTCCAAGAGGCCGTCCAGGAGAGCCCGATGCGGCAACACACATTGATGCTCCTGAGGTTTCGACTGATTTTGAGGCTCTCACGGATTTTGAGGTTCTCACCTGTTTGGGTTTGCGACCGCCCAAGACGGTCCAACAGGTTCCCAAGATGGCCTCAAATCGGCCGAAGAGGACCTCATGACCGCCCAAAAGACGTCAAAGAGGGCCCCACTACGGAACTAAGCGCTCCAAGAGGACACCAAGGGGCCCAAAGAGGCCCCAAGACTGCTTCCGACGGCGTCAGGCGAGCCAAGATCTCTCCAAGACAGCCGAAGAGGCCTTCAGAGGCCCCCAATACTGCCTCAGGAGGCTCCCAAGAGGCCCGCAGGATGCGAAACTCATTAATTTGCCTTAGGTGTTTGCAGGCTGTTGGTGTTCTCGCCTGTGTGGGTCTCCGACCGCTCAAGGCGGGCCAAAACGCCTCCATCAAGACAGCCCAAGAGGCCCCGCAAAGAGGGGCCCAAGTCGGCGCCAAGAGTACCCCAAGGTCGCCCAAGAGGCTCCCAAGAGTGCCCTAAAGCGGTCCACGGGGGCAGCAAAACGACCCAGAGAGCCCCCCCAAGACGGCCTCCGAAGGTGCCGAACGGGTCAAGAGTCCCCTGAGACGGTCCAAGAAGCCCCATGAGGTTCTCAAGAGGCCCCAGGAGCACCCCAAGAGGCCCCCCAGAGGCCCCCAGGAGGCCCCAGGAGAGCCCCTGAGAGGCCCTTTCCTCTTTGTCTTCATTTTCTCCTCCTCCTCCTCCTCCTTCTCCTCCTCTTCCTCTGTACCGCGCGGACGAAGGTGAAGTCGAGTGCACGCCCCGCCTCAATTCAGGCTGCTCGCTGGCTTGCGG